CTTGCACTACACAGAGGACATGGGACCCCCAGAAGTCTCAAGCCATTACAGCACCAGAAGTCCAGAGTCCCATCATGTCAGTTGCCTCCAGTGCAGATAACACTGGGTGCAGTCCAGTGGCTATCACTCGGAAGGCCTATGAACTACAGAGATGAGTCATTTGTCCCTCCCACATATCTGTCCCAACTCATGAGGGGCCTTCAAAAAGATCATGGAAGGAGCCAGACAGTGGTGCAGCAGCGAAAGCGTGATGGTCTGCATGGAAGACCCACATGGCCAGGGTTCCGGTTTGCATCCAGAGACCTCCCTGAAGGTGCCAGACACACGTGCCCATGAGGCAAGCAAGCTGAAACGGGATGAGTTCTGGCGTCAAGACTTGTTAAGAATGTTGTCTCTCTCTTTCTCTGTCTCTCTCACTCATTAATAACTAAATCATTTTTAAAAGTTCATGGGAAATGCATAGTATGTGCGTGTATTTTATTAATTTTACACCAAAATAAACTCATACTTTAATTCCATTTTTCCATGAACTTTTTAAAGTACATCAGTGGGACAGACTTAGAAGAACTTCTACAGACAATCCCCCCCTTGTTCAAACAAAGGAAAAGCAGGGGGGCCAGCAGGTAGCATGGTAGGTAAGGTGCTGGACGGTAAGGTGCTAGGCTCCCACATGGCCAGCCATGGTTTGAGTCCCAGACCCTGTGGCTTGAGAATCACACCAGGCGGCACAGGTGCATGCGTGCCAAAATCTCAAGAGGAGATGGAGAAGGGATTATGGCATGGCCTTTTCCCCAGGGAATGATTTCTCACTTTCTTTCTCTCTCTTTCTCTTTCTAGTAAGCACATGCACCACACCTCTTGGCAAAAATCTAAAAAAAAAAAAAAAAAAAAGGAAAGCAGGAAACACAGGAGTATCCACACGTTCCCAGGGGTACTGATGTGTGTACACACACTCAGCACAGAGCCTGTGGGGCCTGGCACCAGAAAGGCACCAGGGCATAGCCAAGTGGTAAAGACAGGAGTCCCTGGTCCGTAACAGTTCTGAAATCCACCCAGGAAAATGTTGGTTTCTTGACTGGGATTCAGTCCACTCCTACTCAGACATGACTTCCCCATGGCAAGTCACGGCTCTGCTCTCTGGGTTTAGTTCTGCTCTCTGAGTCCCCCTGCCTTTGCCATGAGAGGTGCCACATGCTGGTAGCTGCATAGTTCAATTTGCTTCTTACCTGTGGGAGCTTGGGGGGCTCTTTTACTATTCTAGTGTTTCTGATTCAAACCACATGGTGGGCCATGTGGGATCCAGCCTTAACCACCAGGCCACAGACTGGCCCATTTAAAATTTTGTAAATATCTCTTTTAATTGCCAGAGGTTAAATGTGCACGACAGACAGATGGAGGGAGAGAAAGTGTCCCCCAATGGGCCTTGGTCATGCCATAATGCCCCTTCTTCCTTTCCGCCTTTCCTCCAGGATCCTGGGCATATGCACACATGTGTCTGGCATGTTTTTCAAGCCAGTGTGGCCAGAATTTGAACTGTAGTCAGCCATGTGGGACCCAGCTCCCTGTGCACGGGGCTTACCCATACACTGTGGGGCCGGCCCTCTCTTCTTTATTCGTGACAGGGCACATGCATGTGCATGTGGCAGGGGGCGGGAGCATCTGCCACAGGGTCTGGTCACGTGAGGCTGAAATCTTTTTTTTTTTTTTTGAGAGATTTTTTGCTATAGGGCGTGTGCGCTCGCCAGACAGACAGAGAGAGACAGAGAGATAGAAAGGGAGAAATCACCCCCCAGAGGGGATGGCCACGCCGCAATCCCTTCTCCTCCATTCTCCTCTTGGGATCTTGGGCATACACGCACATGCGCCCGGCATGAGTTTAAGTCACCGGGTCCAGGACTCGAACCGCGGTCGACTATGTGGGAGTCCAACGACATAGCCATTACGCTAACTGCTGGTCCCCGAGGCTGAAATCTTAATGGTAAGAGCTCATGGAAGTAGGGGGAGGAAGAATTGCTGAGAATGGGAAATACATGGAGTGGTTCAAGAAAACATTACCAGGATTCACACTTACTTTTCCCAGTAATGGGATCATTTGAACCTAACACTAGTGACCTGCTTTTTCAAACCCAACAATATATCATGAAGACCTTCCCACTTCAATAAATGTATGGCATAATTATTAAGAACACAGGTACTGAATCAAACAAACCCAGGTTCAAATCTTGAGTCTACCACTTACCAGCTGTGTAACCTTGGGCAAGTGACTTGATGTCTCTGTGCCTTAAAGTCTCTGTTTATAAAGTAGAGCTGGCAACTACAATAATATTTCACTGGGCTGTTATGAAGATGACATGAGCCCCTGCATGTGAGTGCTTAGCTGTGCCTGGTGCATAATGAATGCTCAGTAAAGAAACATTAATTCTTTTAAATGAAACTGTTATCTATCCAGGCTTGTTACTTAGCTTGTGTGCATGATTGATCACGTGCAGACACCCAGTTCTAACCTACAGACACAGCTAAGGTGCTGGCATGCTCTCCTCTGGAGAGGGCTGGTGGTTAGCTGATAGGCACAGGCAGCCGGTTGTTAACACTGATGTCACTTCCCGCCTGACAAACAGGTCACCCCTGCCTCCACCCACCACCCACTGCTCAGCCATTCCAGCCTCCCTCGGGATCCTCCACAGTGAGACCTCTGCGTGATCCAGCAACTAGAGGACTTGTTTTGAGCTAAGTTAAGCCACGTTTTTTTCTTTTCCCCCTAATGTCCAGGCCCAGCCATAGAGCTGGTTAATGCCACTCTGGCAGCCACACGGGAGGCCTGGGTTCAATTCCTGCCCATTCCAAAAAGCTAGGCTTGATGGTGTGCAACTGTAGTCCCAGCTACTTGGGAGGCCGAGGT